ATAACTTCATCAAAACAAAACGTTTTTCGATCAGGTTTGTTTTGATCAGAAATGATTACTTTTCTCTACCTAGCTGCAACATCAAAACTTCGGTCACGTTTTCCATTTCTTGCTGGGTAGACTGCCGGAAACGGGGTTGCAAGCACATTTCTAAGCCTATAAGTTTCTTACTAGATGAGCTAACGGGGTCAATCAATCGTCATTTTGTAGAGCGTTTTTTACTGCATCTTTTCTTCATAGAGACAAATTTACAACCACTTGTTTCACTATAGAAAAATTTATTATTCAGATCGAGTCAGAACTTCTGGCCCACCCTTTAATTCATTTTTACATCATTTGTACTTTGAGCTCTACTCCCCTGCAAAAACATTTTTCCCCATTCCTGTACAATTTACCTCAGTTATGGCTAATAAATGCGTGAGGACCACTTTACTACAAGGATGGGATTGAGGTGTTAACGAATAACAACATGACCAATGCTTTCTGCCAATCGACGCTTTTTTACCCAAACTAAAACCGCACTTCAAATAAGAGCAATCACTGAATTTTTCATGCCACATCCCGACTTCTTTTGTTGAGTCCTTATTTTGCAAATGGGACTGTAAGCTAGTAGAGTAGGCTAAATTAACGTTAATTAGTGCTAATTAGTCAATACCAGGAAAGAAAGAACAAAACTTTTTACAAATTTTCTCGTAGTAAATATTCTCAACGCATTTCTCTATCGATCTAGCAAGAACCAAGTTCTTGTGATCAATGGAGAATGGACAGGAATTTATAATAATAATAATAGTCCCTTGTTCAAAAATTTAACAACATTTTTTTAAGTGATTAATTTTTTTCTCAGCCAAATAATGTCAGTAAGCCGAGAAAACTTCAGGACATATACTTCGAAGTATCCTCTACAAACTGGGAACGTTGAAGGAAAATCTAAATGGGGGGGAGGCACCCCCCCCTTAATCATAACTGTTTTCTGTACTAGAAATCACGAAACAGTGAATTTCAAAGAAAAACGTTCAACCTTCACAGAAAACCCTCATTGTTAAAACCAATGATGATAGTGTCCACCACTGGTCACATCATTCCATGTATTGGACCTTTCTTGTCGAATTTTGCTAACAACGATGCTTCCATTATGAAAAACATACTGTATAGGAATGCGGATAATATACTCAAGTGGTTGAGGAAGGTAGAGTTTCTTTTGAAATGGTAAGCGCATACATGTTGCTAATATGATTTAGGACGATGTTGTCGTGGTCGACAGAGGATTTAGAGACTCAGTTAATATCATGGAGGGTCTGGGTTTAGAAGAAGCTATGCCGCTTTGATGGTCGTCGACAATTCTCAACCAATGAATCCAATCAGTCGAGATGCATAACAAAAGTTAGATGGATTGTGGAGGCAGTAACTGGACAAATGAAACAATTCAAGTTCTTGTCTAATACCATACAAAACTCGTCATTGCCTCATTTAGAAGCATATATTTCAATTGCATGCTCGCTCATTAATCGATATGGTCGCCAATGGTAACTTCCGCTGTACAAAATGAGAAAATAGAGCAACAAATGCTATTGTTACTGGAGAAGAAGAACACATTCGAACAAGTAATCGAAGCCATATAATCATATTCATTCCAACATAGTTGTTTGCTTCATTTCTTAGTTTCTTCAACGAAATCATTTGATCAAATCTCCAGCAAAATCGGAAACGATTAACCACCTGGACATCATGAATAGTTTCCCCATATTATCTGAAGATGATATTGGAGATATCACACTTGGTACTTCTTTTTTATATTGAATTCATTCTGATATTCAAATCTTTCCTTATACCCAATGACTTGGAACATAAAATGGAAATGAAACATTTAATTCACGAGCAATGGAACTATCATTCCAAATTTTTGGACCAGTGACACCTAATCGAAAACCATCAATGGTATGTGGTCCTAATAAGATAATTTGAACTTGGAAACTCTGCTGATTAGAGTCAGTTCGAAAAGATAATATCATAAATTAATTGTTCATCTTCTGATACAGTTGAAGATATGGAACGCAGTCCACTACTAAATTTTGCATTGCGAATATCCATATCACAAGCGAACATTGATGGACCAACACGTTCAATTGGATATTGTGCAAAATATGAATTACTAAATGCGTATCCAAACACAACTAAGACCACAACGGCAAATGATGCCATACCGCAAATCCATAATTCACCGTTGGCAATTAAATGTGTGTCGCAATACACATTTTACTGTATCGGTTATTCTATTAC